GAATAGAGATTATTTATTATTATACTTAATAATTTGGAATCTCTCCCTTTCTTATTCTAGTTTCAGAAGCAAATTGAAGCCTTAAATCAACACTGGTATTCAGATTTTTTAAGATGATTTCTCTGTATGGGAAAGATTAATGTATCATCTAGTATATTAACAAAATGTCGAATTCCTGTATTTTTTTCTTTTAGCATGGAAAATACACTTCAATTCTTCATTTTTACTTCCTAAATTAATTTTTAATAACTAATTTTAGCTTATTTACCGCATGAAAGAATCTTATCTTTCATCTTATTATATCTGAAATAAATTTCTTTGCAAACCTAGGTTATCTCATGGCTTTTTCTGCTTATCTTCCACATACTGTGGAAATAACCCTGAGAATTAGTAATTTTTTCTTACCATTTGTATTCTTGTCACATAAGTGTTTGGTCTCTTGCATCCCGATTGGCTATGTGCTCACAACAGGCAAGAGCACAGTTCTCAGTTCCAGCTGAGAAGGAGTAGGTAGCAGTTTCTGTGGTTGGGGTAAGTAGGGAAGGCAATCACACAGTACGTTAACTTCCTTCTGAGAGGAGGAAGCAGGCAGCAACAAAAGCTGTGGATTGTCTGTTTTGGAGCAAGTGGTAGGGAGGGGATGACCTAGTGAGGAAAATCATCACAGATGTTTGCTGTTGCATTCTGCCATTCATGAGATGGTCATTGGATGGCAGGTTTCTTTGAGTGTAGTGTTCTTCAGGAGAATTGTATTGGCTTTGTGTGGCAAGGCTTTGGTATGAGAAGGGCCACAGGCATGGCTTCTGTGAGAAGCTGCCAGGGGCTTCCCCATGTGTGACAGAGCCAAGGCCAGCTGGCTCCAAGGTGGACAAACAGTTGGCCAAGCCCATCGGCCACAGTGGTTGAGCCTCCGGGATAACATTTAAGAAGGGGGAAAAAACTGCTGCTCAACAGCAGCCAGAGAAGAGAGGAGTAAGAATATGTGAGAGAAGCAGCTGTAGACACCAAAGCCAGTGATGAAGGAGGGGGAAGGGCGGTGTTCCAGGTACTGGAGCAAGGATTTCTCTGCAACCTGTGGTGCAGCTCATGGTAAAGCAGGATGTCCTTCTACAGCCCATGGAGTTCTGTGGTGAGCAGAGATCCACCTGCATCCTGTGGAGGACCCTGCCAGAGCAGATGGATGCCTGAAAGAGGCTGTGACCCTGTGGGAAGCTCAGGGTGAATGAAGCATTTGCTGACAGGACTTGTGACCCTGCGAAAGACCTGTGCTGGAGCAGTTCGTGCAGTTCTGTTTCCCGTGCTAGACCAGGGAAAGAGAGCAAGGAGGGTGGAGTGACAGAGACAATGTGTCATGAACAGGCTGTAACTCCCCCTCTGCTGCTCTGGGGATGGAGGTAGTGAAACTGGGAATGAAGTTAAGCCTGGGAAAAGGGAGGGGTGGGGGGAAAGTAAGATTTGGTTTTATTTTCTTGTTACCTTACTCTGATTGGTACTAATCACACTGATTTCTGTGAGTTGAGTCTGTTTTACCTATGATGGCAATTGGGTGATCTCCCTGTCCTTATCTTGACCCCCAAACTTTCTGTTGTTCAGCCAAGGAGGGGAAGTGGTGGGCACTGGGTAACCAGCCAAAGTCAATCCACTACAAGAACACAGACAATACCTAAGAGTTTCTGACAGGCTAAAAGGTCTGAATCTCCTTCATGCTTCAGGAGCAGCTGTTAATAGGGAGCACAGGTCATCTGCTTGTTCTCCTGCATCAGGCAGAAGATGGAGAAAGAAGCAAACCATGCATTTGAGCTGGTGTCTTCATAGGATGAGGCTTCCTCTTCCTGAACATTTTGCAATTAAGAATATGCAAGCCTAATAATGCCTAATATTTGCACACATATAATTCCTTTTAATACATGTAGTCCTCCTGATGATTCTTTCAAGTTTTTTACTGTACATCTGTCATAAAGTTGTATTCTTGAAATTTCAGTGCATTCCTGAGAATGTGCAGTTGTTTTGTAATAGTATGAGAAGAATAGTAGGTGAAGAATAGTAGAAGAAAATTAGGTAAAGAGGAGGTGTCAAATCCAAAACAAGGGTGGAAAGAGAAATGGATTAATATTTGGTGAGGAGACATGGGCAAATAGCTTTTGTTGTTGTTACAGATAGAGAGACACTACTTTGAGCTGTCTGTATTTGCAAATGGGAAGGATGGAGAATTGTAAGGTGCTAAAATAACCCCAAGTAAGAGCAAAGTCATTCAAAATTAGGCAAGTTATTTCACTTTGGAAAAGGAAAGTTAAAAACTTTCCTTTCTCAAAGCCAAAGCTTTTCATTCTGGTTTTGAAACAAGCTTAGAGTGCTAGTAAATCAAGCATTTTGCCTCTCCTCTCCTGGGAGAAAGCAAAAAATAGACCCACCAGTAAGACAGAGGATGATGCTGTAACTGCATGACTTAGTGGCTCTCCTGTTAAGGGTTAATGTGTTTAATGAGTTTCATCTGGTATGGTTTGATGTTTTTGTGGTAGCTTCTCCTTGATTTACTCTCTGTAGAACAACTACACTTCAGCTCTTCTGAAATCTTTTGTCAAAATCTTTAAAAAAAATTGGCAAATGTAAAAAAAGTTCAGTTATTTCAATAATATGTGTAATTTCCTTATCCTTTTTGCCATAGAGTTGATCCGTCACTTTAGAATAGAGGGGGTTCTTAATCTTTGTTCTGGACATTCAGCACCTTAAACAGTGTGGTTTTGATCAGTGCTTGAGCAGTAAATGTTCGGCAAGTTCTAATACTTTAAAACCTATACAGATGTTGCAGTTCCAGATGTCTTCTGCTGTGTCATGTCTGTAGACCAGCTACTGGTATCACAGCTGTAGCATGAAACTAGGTAGCAGGGAAAAGGTGAATCAAAAGGCTGCTTTAAAGCTCTTAGGACAGCTAGAAAACACTAAGACTTGGACCAACACCTAGTTTTGGATAAAGGTAGAATAAATAATTGATTTTATTGAAGTTTGTCCTCATCCAAGAAGAATACAGCTGACAAAAGCCTGTAAAGTTTTAGTCTGGGTGATAGCTGCAAACGTTCAGTTAATTTTCCACATGCTTTCTAAACTCCCTGACAAATTTATCCTATGCTCCTGTAATACCTGCAGAAGAATATAGTCCTTTATCAAGGGAGAGGGGAAAATGGAAATGTTTGACGTTTTCAAAGTTTTGCTTTTGGTTTTATTTTTATTTTTTATGGAAGAAAATCTTAGATTTGTAAGCTGTTTCCACCAAAAAAAAAAAAAAAAAAAAAGTAGGAAAACTAGTCACTTGGAAATTTAAATAGAACATTTCTGTCACTTTGAAGTATGAGAAAGTCAGGTTTTCAATTTCACACTCTTATGCAGAATGGGAAAAGGAGAGAAGCAGTTTCCCATACAATTATATTGTTTAGTCTTCCAGGGAGATGGTCATCTTTTTTCTCCTGGCTGTTACCTCTGTTTGCCTCCTTGTGCTCTTACCATGAAGGAGGAATACTAGCATAGGTGTGTGTCCGTGGTATTTTTGTTTTATCCTTGAAGCCTTGTCCATCTGTGGAGCTGAGATTCATGCTGTGTGACTTCTGAAAGTAGAGCATTGCCTGGGATTGATTCTGTGGGTCCCTAAAGCTGCATATTGAAGGGGTCTGTGTCACCTTCTGACAGGTCGTGTTTTCTGCCAGAGGGAATTTTCTGTAGCTTTTACTGAAGTTTTGGCCTCTGTTTTAAGTGTTGATTATTAAAATGTCATGTTAACCTTCAGCAAGGCATTTGGCTAAATTTATGAACTGCAACAACAGTTTCTTGTGTAATTCTAGTCTTTTTTTGCAAGAGTGGTTATTTGCATATCTGAGCTCAGTTTCCATTTTAGCTTTTCAGTTCATTCAACATACATTTTTTAATCAGTCAATATACAGTAGCATAGGAAGGCTGCAGGAAGCACACAGTACTTGAAAATATAATAATGATAATAAAAAAAATCATGAAGTTCATAATGCATTTTTATAGTATGGTAGTGTGGACAAATGGAGCTTGAATCTTTGTTTATTATGATGTCTTCAGATAGCGTTTTCTGCAAGCTCTGGAAACCTCAAGTGGTAGACCTGTAAGTTTTTGCACTAAGTTTTTTGCAAGGTAAGTGTAAGAGGCTTGTCATGTACATAGATGATTTCCTATGGGCTGTAAAAACGGAGAGAGAAATTTTGAACATCTCCTTTTTATTTTGGCTTTAGGATTTTGAAAGCTTGCCAATTTGCTTAAAGAGCAGCCTGCTTAAATAGTGTTTTTACCTGCTATACAAGCACTCCTTTTGTATTCATCTGGATGGTCCAAATCTAGGGAGAGGTTAACTTTCTGCCTGACAGCTGGTATTCGTATTGAATATGAAATAAGTACTCTAAGTTGCTTCTTATGCTAATGTCTGTAAACTTAAAAATTACTGCATTTTGTGAAAACATGTCCTTAATGAAGTTTGAGAAGGGAATAATGCCTGTTCTTAAACTGTGATGAGATACTTTATGTAGGAAGGGAGGAGGGACAGTGTAACTTCTTTGGGCGTCTCAGATCACATACAAAGGCAAGAAAATCTAAGCCTAAATTAATAATGGAGAAGGAAGTAGAATTTTCATACTTTTCCTTACAAAGACTTTCAGAGAGTATGAGTCACTAATAAACCTACTGTGAACCTACTATTTTAAGAGACTGTTTTCTCTAACATAGTCTTGACATTTTTACAGGCCTTTGGTAGTCTCAAGCCCTTCGTTTTTGTAGGTGAGTATATGGTATGTTTGGATCAGAACATTAACATCCATTTGTGGTAGTTCTTCACATTTAGTCACTATTTCAATCCATAAGAATTTAACAGCTACCTGGTGATGTTTCCTATGACAGCAGATGTTTTTGGACCTTTACAGATCATGAGCCAAGCTGAAGGACAACAGAAGAATCTTGTACAAGCCATTGAAGCTCTCCCAAATTCTGGACCCCTTACTGCCTTGGATCAGGACTTGCTACTTTTAAAAGCTACCTCTGCTGCCACCCTGAGCTGCCTTGGAGAATGCCTGAGTCTACTACAGCAAAGCATGCATCAAGTGGGCCAACAGCATAACAGGACACTGTCATCAGGTGAGCACAAGCTCCTTTGGGTATTGTTTCATATGCCTTGGGGTATTTTATTATGATACAAAGCAGCCAAAATTAGCCATTCTCAGAGAGGCAAGTTGGGATGAACAGCTTGTGAGCTTCTGCAGCCTCAAGCACTGTAGTTCTTTGCCTAATAAAGGGTGCAAAATGTATTGAAATCAGAAGAGAGGAGGATAAGAGGTGGTCCTGACTCTTCTCAGAAAAATCCAGTCCTGAAGACAGCAATACCAAAAAATGGCACATGGAGAAGAGGTATATATAAACCTACATTTTTGAGGTATTATGTACATATACATAGTTAATGGCAGTGCGGAACTAGCTTGGTTGTTTTGGTTTGCTCCCCCTCCTTTTTTCTTTAATAGATTTCAATCTCAATACAGATTTGTTTGATAAAAATAATGCTATGCAGTTCTATGGTGAAAGTAATTTTTATCCAGTTTTCTGCATGGAAGGATGCTGTTGAGGTGGATTTATTTGGATCTGTGGTTTTCTTTGAGTCTGGAAAGAGTTCTCCATGCTTCTAAAAAAAAAAAAAATCTCTGGCAAATTTTATGAGCCTAAAATGCCAGTGTGATACTCCACAGAGGTCTGCAGGCATGAGCCTCTCAGTCCCCATGTGCCTTGGTCTTGTCAGTTCACCCAATTTTGTATCTGTCCATAATATCGGAAGATGGACCCTGAGCTTTCTGGAAGAGTGGTTAGCGTTTTTTCATGCATAGACTGCACTGCCAAGTCTTACGAACAACAGCAAGTGTTGGTGTAAGAGAAGCAGCAGCAGCAGAGCTCTGGATAGGGAGTGGCTTTTTGTGTTTTCTTCGGGTGCTTTCACAACAGTCCTCCCCCAGCTGCCCTCACTTGCAGTAGGTTCACTACGGGTCAGGATATGTCCTCAGGCTGCTGAGAGATGGCACAGTGGGACAGCCTCTGAAACATTCCCATAGTGAGGAGAGTAGAAATGTTGAGAGGGCTACTTGCGAAGCAGGAAAATGATGTGAAAGTAGTTCTTGGAAAAAACAATTTTAATTCTTTTGACACCTGCCCTATGGTATGTGCGGACTTTCCCGTATCCAGATTCTGCTTGGTTTCATAAAGGAACTTGATTTAAAAATAATTGCTACTTTCTTGTTGAAAATGAAACCCCTCCCTTTACTTATCTAAGTAGTAATGATAAAGTGCATTGAATTAAATTATTTGATATAACTTTATTTCAGAAAAGAATGGTTTGAAACAGAGATGAAAAGCATCCTTCAAAGAGAAGTTACTTTCTAGTTTCAAGGTCCCTGAAGGTTGTTTTTCATCTTGATGTGTTCTAAGTGAACTGTCAAGAGATGGATGACTTGAGGTATACTTGTCCTTGAATCTGTGTCCACATAATCTTCTGTTAAATCATTGTCTTTGTTTTGACTTGATAATGGTTTTTGAGGATCTGTGGTCAAGAAGAGAAAAAAGCAATCAAAACATTAGTAATTGCTTAAGGGGAATCCCCCCCTTTTTTTTTAAAAAAAAAAAAAAGGGAAGCCATGACTATGAAATAGTGAATTATAAAATCTAATAAGTGTTTTTGTTTGTTCTTCCTAGGACTGTAAACTTGCATGTGAATCCTTTCAGGAATCCAAATTCTGTAGCACTGGTTCACACCACCATCTTTGGTGTAACTGTGACAACTTGAATGCAAGCAGTTAATTATTCAGTGTGTGCGTGGGCTTATTCTTTGGTATAGAAATAAAAAAAAAAAAAACTAAGAAGGGAACTAAAAGCTGCTGAAATATTTAGTCTCTTCTCCCTGACTGAAATGATTTTTTTCCCTAGGCCTTATTATGCAACACAGTTGCCTGAAAGAACCTGGCCTACAAGTCTTGATTGCTGATTTTCTTACACACTTAATCTTTGCCAGGCATACTTTGATAGACTTAACGTTTCTGCTGAGTCGGTAGAGTTTCAGAGTCATCAAAGCTGCATAAGCTCATACCTATTCAGACTAAAGCCTTTAAGTAATCCCCTAGCAAACTCTAATTCCGAGAGATGATCTAGTTAATTTTGATTGTGTCCTCCAGGTGAATTCTTTTAATTTTATACCCAGCAGGTACAACAGAACTGTCACTGTCAGGTGAAAATTACTCTTGTTAGTTTAGAAAGCATGTGCTCCTGTGATAGGGATTCTCAAACACCTTTCTTGTGAGATGTCACGGCCCTGTGCAATTTATTGCTGAATGCTTCCATCCCAGTGCTGTCATATTACCTCTTGTGTGGTGTACAGGTGTTAGTAGGCATTGTGGGGCAGAATGCATAGATAAACACAAGATAGGAATTTGATAATTTATTTTCTTGCTTCTAGCCTACAGTTTGTGAAAGCAATCCAGTCCAGCCAGGCAGGAGTCTTCTTGTGCTGAGTGTGAGAAATACTCAATTGCTTAGCTTGGGTGACTTGAGTTTGCTTTCCTTCAGCATCCAAAGCTCTCACAGTTATGCCATAAAGAGAGAGAACTGCCTTAAAAGTAGATATATATCTACTTAAACTGCTTTCTCTATACCTTTCCATCTGTCTTTGGAGCCTGCATGCCCGACTGTGTAAGTTTTGCTGACTTCCCTGGGCACTGGAGGCCTTGCAGTCTTACTGCCTCTAAAGCAAGGACTTAAAGGTGGCTGTGAGTTTCTGATCTAGTACTTACGGAAAGCTCTCATCAAGTTTATAATTAATTAGTAGCTATTTTAAACAGATTTACTGACATTTGTTGTTTTAAACAGGAAAAAAAAAAGGTGTCTTCTTTATTTTGATGTAAAAATTTTTGTTGCTTTGTTTTCCAGTAATTAGAATAGAAAGAAAGCAGCTTGGCATTCACTTTAGTGGAATCTTGTCCAGAATCTACAATTATGTGGGTCATGACTTAAAATATTTTTATGGCATCCTTTCTAATGGAATAGTTTAAGGATGACGTGATTTTTCCATTTCATGTTTCTCACGAATTGTCAGTCTTAGACCTCAAGCCTACAAGCAGACATGAAGATTAAAATGAAGTCTTCAATCTTGTCTTGAGGGCTAATCAATAAATTTTTTATTTCCACTCTGAAGCTTCATGGAAGGGTCTTTGTGATTGTCTTTTTTGGAAGTACATCAACAAGAACAGACAGAAGCAAAAATCCTGTCTCTGTTTCTACTTTTGAGTAAAAATAATGTCAAATAATGTCAAAAGTAATTTCTAGCTGTCATTATTAAAGGTATGTGCATTGATCACTGGCTATATTTTTGTATTTTTTTTTCTTTCATTGAAAATATGCTGGAGAAGGGTATTACTAGCTGAAAGTGTTGGTTACATATAGTGTGAGTACAGGATGAGGGATTGCATCTCTACAAGCTTCTTTGGGCTGGGAATTTTGTTGTTTTTTTTTTTTTGTAGCATGGAGGAAAATGTCAAGGCCTTTCTTTTTGGCTGGGAATGTCACCACTTAGGTACATCTGAAGTGCCTTCTGACAAGCTTGAGTTTATCTAGCATGCAGACAAGGAGTGGACACCTTTGGAAATAAAAATGTGGAGAAGAAACTTTTGTCTTAATTTCTAACTTCAGAAGATCTAGTGTTATTTTTTTCCAGCTCTGTATACAGCCTTTGGCAGAAGAGTATCTCCAGAGCCTGTTGACTGCAACTGTTAACATTCTTCCCTCCCAGACTGGGAACAGAGCAAACTTGAATGTTTGTTTTAGTGTAGCTCTGCGTATGTTGTGTTTTAGGTCTGTTTTATTCTTTTTCATTTTAGTGTTTTGGCAGACAGAATCCTCTCTTGTAGTACCAGCCTGCACAGATCACAATTCGTTCTTTTAATCTGCATTTCAGGTTAGCCATTCCTTTACTGAATAAAGCATCTTCCCAATAGGAGTTCCCTCCTATATTTTTCTGTCTCTCCCTTGCCTGCTTTTCCAAACTGTAGAACATTCTGTTTTCCTTAAGATTTTTAGAAACAAAAACCAAACTCATCCTTACTATGGATTTTTTGAAGTTCACTTTAGTGTGCAAGTGCTGCTGATTTTGGCTCCCATGGAAACAAATGGATCGGAGATGATTCTGAGCTGGGGATGGGGTATACTTGAGCTTTTTATTCTCTATTGCCTCCTTTTTTGGAGAAAATAAATGGACAGGAAAGGCAAAAACCTAGATGCTTTCAGTTTGTTGACAAAAGACAGCTAGGCATTCTCTTGCAGCTGAGATGACAAGAGAGAAAAACGGGCAGGTAAGTCAGTCCTTGTTTGGGCTTAAATGCGTGTGGGCAGGGAAGAGTGAGGGAAGAAGACAGAGGAGTACATACTCTTTGTTACTGGTATACTTTAGTAAAGTTGGCTTGGTCAGTCAGTTCTCCCTTAATTGCACCATCACCAGTTTTGCTTCTGTCAAGAATAACCAGAACAATTTGCTGTTGTATCTAAAGGCTAATACATTATTCCTTACATGTTCTTCTTTCACTGGAAGATCACATTGTTTTCTACTCCCCACACAACATTAGCAAATACACTCTCATGTGAAAAGCAGAGATGCAGCTGCCATTTGCTCTTGCTGGTTCAGTGTGCTGTAGGGATTAAACAAACTGTTACATCCATCCCTGGTAGGGGAAGGAATCCAGATCTAATATTGGTTTCTCCTCAAGGCCTACCACTGCACTGTTAGGGGATATTTGTTAGAGTACATTTTTAAAATACGTTATCAAAGTGTTATCAACAGATGTTTACGATTGTGCCAGGGAAAAAAAGTAAGTTGTTTTGTTGGTTTTTTTTTTTTGTAGTCTCCCAGGCAAGACAAGAGGATTTAAAATTAGAAAGGCTTTTGTTATGGAATTGAGATAGGTATTAAGCATATTTCATGCATCATTTATCGTGCAAAAGTGAGTTTGAAGATATCAAGTACCCAGAAAATCAAAACCACCAAAAGGAAATTATCAACATTGCTTAACTGAAAAAATCTCCTGTAAACCTTCTCTTTGGAGAGAACTCCCCCCACTCCTGCAGTGTGCACCTGTAGAAGGGAAAGATGTTTCTCCTGAGGGCATTTGTGTGGGATACAACCTATTGTGCCCTCTAAAATAGATGTTTGTGAGCTGTAGCATTGCTATATGGAAAGGACAAATAGGTTGTGTCTGGATGCTGTACCTTGCTTAGGTACAAGTGTTCTCATGTGCCTTGGTGTGCTTGTCTGCTGCGTGTTCATCACAGTGGAAGCTGGTGTTGAGGGGAAGAGGGAAAGAAGCTAATTTTTGGGTATGTTCTGTAAGTACTCTTGTTTTGTATATACATATGCTCTGAACTCTCAGTTAAGTCAGACTTGGCTTTTCACTCTAGAACTACAGAACCAATGCTGTGCAGGTAGAAGGGATCTGGCTTATTTTACTAGTTGTGTATTTGGTACATCCTTTCTAATTTTTGCATATTTGACTGCAGAAACAGATGTTTTGTTTTAATTAGTGCAGTGCATTGCGTAGTCTTAAAGCAAGTAGTAAAGTAGTTATGTAGTTGTCAATACTTTTATATAATTTGTGAATGCCTTTCTGGAGAATTCCTTTAGAGTCCTGAAATGTATCAAAATAGATTAGAATTTACCTTTCTGTCAGCTGTCTTTGGCTGTGACTGAGAACAGAGAAAAAAAATCTGGCTTAAAAAAACCCCAAACCAATGACAGCAGTTTCTTCCTATTCTTATCTAACTCAGAAGATCAACTTTCTCATATTGTGTTTAATTTATATATATATATATGTAAATTTTTTTAAAGTCTGTATAAGAACAGGGAATGAACTAGTGATAGAAATTTTTGTGGCAAAGATGGCAACTCCTTAGAGTGGATCAAATGACATACATATGTCAGCTCAGTCTGTGAAGAGTAAATTCCAGTAAAACAGCTGGATTAGATATGCCACAGACAACAGCAATACCTGTACTGTTTTGTGATAAGAGTATTTTGTAGTAGTGCAGATGAGAACATTTTGGGTGTGCTGAAAAACTGAAAAAAAAAAAAAGCCTGAAAAACTGTCCCAAAAATTTTTGGAAACTGATAATATGAGTAAAGTAGGAGCCATATTGTTACAGCCTTTCACTTTCTACACAGATACTGTATTCTAGTCTTAGTTGATTTTAAGATAATTTCTGATGAGTTCTCTCATCAGAGATTGCTTTTGCCTGAAACGTGAGCTGCTGTATTAGATATATGGCAAGTCCCTTGGGATGGTGTGAGAATGCTGACATCTCAGAATGATATTGTAGATTGAAGATCATAACCGGTTCTCTGATGGCACTTTGAAACTAGGTGGGAATATTTTTCAACTTGTTCAGAGAGATACTCTTTATTTGTTTAGATTTTTGTGCTGTGCGGCTAAGTGTCCTTCCCTGCATTTTTCTCTTCTGCAAAGTAGTCACATTCCAGATGCGTGGTTTAACAAAACAATTTTTTTCATATGCAGAAGTGTTGAGGAAATGAATGTGCTTTAATATAATTTGGATCTTAACTCTTGGGATCCTGTTGGTGTTGGTTAAGTCATAATGTATTTCTAAGATCTGTTTAAAATTTGATTAGACTGACAAGATTTGTTGTTTTGTGAGGGTAGCATTGCCCTTGGTACAGGAGAGAAAACATGCTTGCCTAGTTCTAACAGTTTCTGTGTCTCTCAGAGACTCTAAAATGTGCAGAGAAATACAAAGGTCTTTTTACAATGTGTTTGCACTGAAGAGAATAACTAGTATAGTGTTTATAAAAATATGTTTGTGATGTTGAAGTAAATGTTCACATTTAAAAATTCCCCCTGAAGTCAGGTACTTGTTCAGTAGGAGCTTTTTATTGTGCTTATTTACATAAACTAGATTAAAAAATAATCAAAAATAACTGTTTACAGTGAAGCCCAAATAGATTGTGCAGAGAGAAAATGGATAGCCCAAGGAAATGATAGGATGACATATTTTTAAAGATTAGCATAAAGGGAAGTCAGTTCAATTTTTTTTTTTTAGTGCCTCTGTAATAGGAAAATAGCAGCAGTAATCCATTATTCAGTTTTTTTGATGGAGAGAAACAGAAAAATAGATCGAGATCTGTTATTGCAAAATACTGAAGAATGAGAAATTTGACAGCAGAGCCACAGAAATGTTCTTCCTTTGGCAAGGGGAATTTTGTGTAACTGTATGAAATGCACATTTTAAAAAGGAAAAAAAAGCTGGATTTTTTTCCCCCCTGTTATTTACTCAGATCTTTGAAAATAATTTTATTCTTAAGTATTTGCTTTTGCTTTCCTTATGTTTTCTTCAGCAAATGGCGCCAAAAAAGCACCCTAAGCAAAGTAGATCTGAACTTCTGTCGTGTCTTCATAACTTGGTGCCATTTTAGATGAGAGGAATGCTCTGTAACTGTTTTGTCAGTTTGTGTCAATGGGATTTGTGGCCCATTTTTTAATAATGGAAATGTTAATGTAACAGTATGCAGCATGGTCTCTCCAGATCTGACCATTTACTTCACTCAAGAGGCAATCTCTGGTAACCCTGGTGATACAGAGAAGAGAAATTGCACATTCTTTCATGTACTTTGTGTTGCTCTGCGTCGTCTTAAAAATTTGTCATTGATGAGAGGAGGTCCTCCCTGTGGCACTAATTGTATATTCATATATAAATTATGGTAATGACTGAAGAACTGTGATTTTCTTATCCATATCTCTACATTTTATAGCAGCGTGTAATTAACAGCTGAAATTTTAAGTCCTGTGCTGAGGGCTACTGATTTGACTGTTGAGACTATGTTTTAGAGCAGCTGGGGAGGAAGAACTGTGCATTTGCCTTAGCTGATCATCCTTTCTGTCATGGAATCCTTAAATACAGACCCATCCAGGAAATCAAGTGCCCCCAGAAATAATGTTTTTTTTCTGATGCCAAGTTCTGTTTGATTCATATTTAATACGTTTCATTCTAATGAGATCTCTTTTAAATTGGTCTTGGTACCAGTAAAGCATTTTAGTACTTATCTAGAAAAAAACTTTTAACAGTGCAGACAGAAATAAAATGCAGCTGCTAGGCTTAAAACTTTGATTCCAGGCAGAGGAAATGGAGGGTTTACTTGGATAGCTTGGGAACTACTATAACCATAACCATGAAAATAGTGGGTAGAGAATTCTTTCTTAATTTCCAAGGTATGCCAGATTATACATAAGGATTATATGGTCTGGTGGTAGGACTAACATTCACTGACTTAAAAAAAATCATAGGTAAGTTGGCCTGTAAGGTGCTTACTTTGGTTATTTCGGGTGTTTCTTGCTTCCAAAGGCAAGGGTATCATTTGAAATACTGCATAAGCTAGTTCAGAAGGAACAAGATCATTTTTTGCCAAAGCAAAGCTGCACATGGAAACAGAGAGGAGATACAACTCTTTTAGATCAGCAGAATGGTGAGGTGAATGGAGGAAATCTGTAATCTTTCTCTTGTAAGTTGATACCTGTTTTTCTGCTTCAGAAGGTATCCTGGGATGGCCTGGGCCCAAGTCACACTCCACAGAGCAGCTGAAGAACGGTGCCCTCAGCTCCTTATCATCTGCTAGTGCCAACATTACATGGGCAATAGTACCATCTGCAGCTCAGGATGCACAGGCACTGCAGCCAAACACTGAGGTAAGCATGCTTGGTCTCTGTAGGGCGTTGGTTAGACACAGACCGTGTGTGATGGTGGATTCTTTCATTGATAAATTATTGTATTTTGCCTTTATAGTGTACTTTTTGTTTGAAGTTACTTGTGAATATGCTAAGTTTCATGCAAAAGTGCACTCCAGAAACTTGAAACATAAGTTGATGATACTGTTCTGTGCTTTTACTTCTCTGAGCTACTTGGGTCAGCAAACTTTGGCAAGTGTACAGTTTCTTTCCTAATCTTAAAAGCAATCAAAAGATTGTCAGTACACGTTTCTATCCTCTGATTCAAGGAAAAGTGATTTCTTTATTTTGTGGTTTGAGATAGACAGGAGACACTGCTTGCTTGTTACTTGTTCTTCTATGTTGCTGTTCTTGGGCATCTCTTTAGTACAGCTGAGTGTTCTTTGAGTTGAAAAATGATGTTATTTCCTGATCCCTTTTCCTGTTAAGTGATTATGGGCAGAACTTGTTCACATCATCCTGCATCAACCAGCTGATTTGTGCTTTTGTGGCATTTACTTGGTAAAGGGCAGTTCTGAAGCATCCACTCTTTGAGGAGACTCACAGCTGCGTATCAGACATCTCACACACTGAAAATCTCTCATCATGACAAACGTCTCCAGCTTCTGCTGTCTGCTTCAGTAACCAGACCAGCCCACAAGGAAAACACTCTGAGACCCTAGAGATTATAGGGCACCTGGAGCACATGAGACCTGCAGAACTGGAACAGAGTTTTCAAAAGAGCTGAAGAAACTAGTGAATGCTCTGGGCAATTGGAATGGCGTAAATTAACTTACAACATGGCCTTTAACAAAATCTGTAATGGCTGGAGACATCAATAAAGCTGTTTTCCCCGTTCTTTTGTAGTATGTTGAATTGAATATAGTTAAAAAAAATTCACAGATAAACCAGGTTTTTTTAAACATGTTCCTTTGGTCCTCTGTCCTTGGAAAATAATTTTGAATTGTTACTCCTAGTGTCCATTTACCAAAATGTTTAAATTACCTGTAATTACTTTTTATTAGGAAGTCGTGTAATTTCTTTTTTTGTATAATCCAAGTGTACTTTCTACAATGTGTTTTAAGACAAGGCACTATTTGAGATTGTTTTGGGAGTTACTACTTGCTGAACCACTGAAATCTGTTTCTTTAGGTTTTTTTTAGTTTTGTTGGTATTCTTTTTTATTCTTGATCATCCACTAAAGCCAAATGGGATATGGAAACATGAACTTTACAGCAAGAACATAAAGAGCAGCAGCTGATTTTACTCATATTAAGGTATCATTTTGCAGTTGAGTTGAGCCATTTATGACACGTTTTAAATGCCAGTATTTTTTTATTAGTCCAATCCCTTCCTGTTCATTTGCTGATGAGAGACACTGAGTTGTGTGTGTGGCTTTGGGTACTGCTTTGCTTGTGGCATTTACTTGGTGAAGGCCAGTAAATCATAGTAAACTCATGATTTATTGAGAAGGGAGTGTCCTTGAAGGGGTGAATAGAACAAGGAAGTGTAGCAGTGTTTCTAGTAGAGATTCCTCAGTGCTTTGTGAACAGTCTTCCTGAAGTCAGCAGCTTGCGTTTGGAGGCCCTGAGGCATTAGCCATTAAAAATGAACAAAAAGAGGTGGGGGCAGAAAGAGAGTAAGATTTTTAAGTTACAAAAAGGTCAGCTCAAGATAGTGTTTTTGGTAGAAATACTAAGTGGAAGTTTCTGGATTGGTGGAGCAACAAGAAGCAGCGGGAATCAGGCATGCAATTTTTATTATGTCGTAGTACAGTTTAATGAGCAAAAATTAGGTTTTGCCCCGAGGAAGTGGCTTAAACCAGGATTCATTCCCAGAAGTTCTTTACAAACCTGCATCTTCCCTAACACAGTCTGTGTGTGTGATGATGCTATTGATACTGCTGTCTCTGAGTTTGCAGTGTTTTTTAAATGTAGCTGATACACTTTTCAGTTTTGATCATTTTGATGAACTTTTTCCTGAGAAACTTAACAGTTACCCTGATAAGAATGGTGTTTGAGCCAGGTAGTCACCCAGGAGATGATGTCTGACATGCTCAAAGTTATCAAAGATGCTTGATTTGACACAATTTAACAGTTCTGTGTGCAGGATGTAATAATATTTTTGAATATATTGTGGCCTTCTGTGTGCAAGGCAAGAGCCTAGATCTGGCACTGAGTAGGCACTTTATTTCCAAAGATATAAGAGCACTGATTGTGCTAATTACTTATCATGTATAATAATATATAGAAGCAAATTCAAATCATCACTTGTTTGTAGTCCAGATACTTTGCTGTTAGTAACATTGGTGACATTAGCAGAGAATGAGAAAATGCTTCTAGCTATCATTAGTTGACATTTTGTTGACACTGGATGTCCTGATTTTTTTTATTTTGTATTTATCTGATAGCTTCTTTCAGAAGAAAAGAGGAATCCACAAGTGTCATTCCAATAAAGCTTATTTCTCTTAATGATTTTCTTTTTAAGAAAATTCAGATAGGCACTAGATAACCTTGATTTCTTGAAGAAGCTGCTGGGGTATTAATGGGACTCAACTTTCTAAATATACCTGCCAGAAGAAATAAGCCTTGCTTTTACAGAAGTTATGGGATGAGAGTGCTAGTTCCTGTAACAGTGCTATCAAAATTAATTCCAATCTTTTCTTTGGCTGGTCTAGATTTTTATTTTAAAAAAATCTGTAATTTTGTGGTATAATTTCTATGTCTTAGTCAGAAGCTATACCCCAAAGGAATGGGAGAGAGCTTTTTGGCTAACTCTGTGTAATATAGTCCATGTACCAACCAAACAAATTGTGAATTGAACTCTAGTCTGAAATAGAAAATGCCATTAAGTGACTAACCTTGAGGAGCAGCAGACTCAACTGTTTATTTATGGAGTGTTATTTATAAGGAAAAGATAATTTTAGGAATGTGGATCAGCAATGATTTTAACAGGAGAGCAGAGATGTTGTGTTGGGGCACAGGGGGTTGTGGGTGACTGCTGAGGAATCTTTCCCATACAGCTGCCTGTCTGCCAGTGTGGCAGCAGTTTCCTGGCAGCATGACCAAGTGTGTTCAGTGATAGCTGTGCTAATTCTCAGCACAACATTCAGACACTTTGCAGCTGTGCATCAGGCAGCATCATTAACAAACAAGTGACAGGTTTTTACATGTTTATGAAGAAGTGTGTGCATCTTTACAATTCTCTGGAATAACAAGATTCATCTAATGCAATCCTCTTTGAATAGTTAAGCATTCTTGATGGATGTAGAAAGTTCTGGATCTGAGTTTTGACACCACAGGTAACTCAAGTAAAACTCTTCTTCTTGGTCTGTTGTACTGTCAGGGTTTCAGGAAGGCAGCGTTTCTTTGGTGAAATAAGGTAGAAGCTAAAGATTATCCTCTTTAGATAATATGTTGGTGTTTACTTGCTTTGGTTTATTTAGGGCATTTCCTGCTTCCAAATGCAGGGATATCATTTGAGATACTGCTTAAACTAGTTCAGAAAATACAAGATTTTGTGACAGAGATTATTTTCTTGTGTGTTCCTTACCTATTATTCTTTTGGAGTTGTGATATAGGACAACATGAAGTTAAAGTCTATTATCTTTACTAGAAGAAATAACCTCTGAAAGTGAATTGCCAGATCAAGCAGTTTTTTCTCCTGTTCTTCCATATTTTTTTAATGTTTTGTGAGTCTCTAAATTTTTATTAGGTTTTTTTTTCTTTTTTTTTTTTTTTTTTTGACTGTCCACCTGAAACATCAGATGGAGGGGATAAAGGCTGAGCTGTACAAAACTATTCTCAATCTAATAATAGTTGATATAAAATGCTCATGTGCACCCCCTGGTGAACCACTTTGGACTTTCTGGCGTAAGTTGTATTATAATTTCAAGGCAAATTTTAGGGTTTTTCCTTAAAGCAGAACAGAACAAATCTGGTGTGAAACATGCCAGAGGTTCACTCTTCAGACCTGTGATGTGAACTTGGTCTCTGTCCAGTCTGCTATAAAGGGGACCTTCTTTCTCCATTTAAGGTTTAATAATTTTGAAATTCTTTTAAACGAATACTGAAATTAATTAGCTTGAATCTTATAGTAAATTCAGTTGTAATAAATTTGGTGCCAAAGTAGAATAAAGGTGTGAATTACTTTAATGGGTGAACTACTATTCCAGTTCAACTAATTGTCATTTTGGGTGTCAGAATTTCCCCTCTGAGCTGGCAAAGAGCGACTGCAGGCCAAATGCTTCCCCTGACAACCAAATACAAACAGGCTGTTTTTGTGGGGGTCTGAAAGGGAAGAAATAATTTTCTTTGGATCTAATAGTGTAGTTAAGAATTATTAAAAAAATTATTCTGTAACTAGATCTGGAATATAGCCCTCCTCATGTGGTTTTTATGCCTTAAAATGCCATGCCAGTTCATTCTTCTCATCCTGTGGATCTGGTATTTGTGCAGTCTCTGCTTTCCTGTCCCCAGCCTTCCCTTGCCTTTGAGCATGAGCAGCTGTACGCATGCTCCAAGTCCAAGTGTCTTTTTAATAGGATTGAAGTTTGAGCTCTGTAGGATTGAGCCTTTAGCTCTGATTATCTAACTGCTAAACCAGGTTTTAATTGTGATAGTGATTGCAAGGGCAGTCAAGTCCAGGTTATTGAAGATATTTTTGTCCCCTAGATGATCTGAACCTTGATTTTTTTCAACTGTAACAAGGAACTGTTCTATTTAGAGGAGGTACTGAATTGTTTCATTTTATAAGTTTATGTATTTTTTTTTTCCGTTTCTTCAGGTGATAGTTTCTTTCAAGCTGTAATTTGTTTTTTATCTGAGTGTAAGAATATATCCTAGTATGACTTTAGAGCTATTACAGAATGTATTAGAGATGCTAAGAAATAATTTAAAAAATGCTCATGCAATTTTAGACACTCAGCTGTAGGAAAGAAATTATTTCTAATTCAATATTACCTTTATTTATCTGTGTCTCAG